ATAAAGTTTAATATTTAAGAATTTATTTTGAAATTTATCATTAATCAAATTCTGACGAAGAAAAGAAGCTTTCGAAGCTTCAATCAAATTTTTTCGCAATAATCTTTATTCACAAATTGAATAGTTTGAATGATTTTTAACTAAACATTATCATTTAAATCAATGCATACTTATCATCTTTTAGCCCCGCCAAGAGAGTATTTTTGAAGAAGTCTGAGATGACTGCGAGAAATGTTCCTGTGAAACGTCACCCTATATTCAGTGCTGATCCAAATTTTAGTTACAGCTTTGTCCGGAAACGAATTCCTCGTTTCATGTAACGTTGCATGGGAGTACTCTGCAACGATAAGTTGAAATGGACGTGACGGGAATCAGTTGTGCATTCCTAGCAAAATACACTGATGTGATTAATGTACACGGTCTGCTGTTTAAAACAAGATGGATTTTGAAATTACTGCTTTCCAAATAATTTTTTGTTAATAAAGAATTTACGATATGATTATGGAGTTTTATTTGTAAGGTGATATGCGAAGCAAAAAAAAAAAACGTTGCCCTTCAGTTCCGATCATATTTGCTACAGGTACTACTGATGCTTGGTTGAAATAATTTAATGCAGGACTGTACGGAATCCAGTAATGAACTTCGGTACCCGACTTATTCTCTGTTTCCGACCTTTTGTTTTCCCTGGATTAGGGTGATTCAGAAAAGGCACTCAAAGTTGGAACTGGGTGGTATAAAATTACTCTGAGAATTTCGGGATTTCAGAACTTGATTTTCTATACAGCTTCACAACATGTATACATACCAAATGCGCAACAAAAAGTGTGTTTAAGAAATCAGTAAGCCCCAAAATGTATGCAATTTTCCCGAATATAAGGATTCCTGAATATAAGGATGAAACGTAACGGCCCGTGACGAATAAACGATAACTTACTGTTGTAAAATATCTTTCTCAACTGTGCATGATTATCTTTCTAGAGTCTAATTTAACTCTCTTTACCATGCGTCTTCAAGTACAAATAAATTTAGTTATAGAGGAAAATATATAAATTTCAAATTTTGATCAAAGAAATCAAGAGTAACCTTGAAGGTCAGCTTCCTTCAATGCTAAACTGCTGTATCGGAAGAATCATCGCATTATGAGAAGTGCTGCATATAAATTATCGACTCGACCCACGAATGCTTTATTTGTTTATTATTTATCTTTGTTGCAACAAAGCTTTTGCAAAACAATGTATCATTGCGTTGACAGCACTCACAAATGGCTGACCTGTTATGAAAAGATATGAATTTTGTAACATAAAAGCGTTTCTACTTTTTTCTGCATGTTTCACATTTTTCGATATTTCACGATGTATATTCCTGAATCTGTTCGATTGATGTAATAGGAACAGACTTCCAAATTTCCACCATCAAGTCCTTCACATTTTATCATTCCCGGATTGTCGAAACCACTGCTAATGACTCAGGCTACTGCATGTCACATTATTTGTCCAGTCACATACATCTTCTCCCTCACTTGTTGGTTTTAACGATTGTATTGTATTTTATTGCATTTAAATTAATTCCTGCATCAGATCGTACTAGTAATGATTATAAAGTTAGTGCCATTACTTCTAAATGACATTTTGCAAACTACTTTATGTTCTGCTGGAAATTTGTAAAATAGGGAAGATATAAGGTAAGAGAATAATACTAAAAGCACGATAATTCAAGAATTTGAGGTGCAGTCATCGAAGGAATTAAACGAAAAATATTCATAACTTGGTGTTCTGGCTCTTTTCATTCGATATCTTTGCATGAAGACTTTCAGAATTTCGTACATTGCCATGCTATGGCTCATATGCAACAGTATTAAACTGAAAGTGTGTTGCATTAAATAAAACGGACTTTCCTGATGTTTTAAAATGTACTATTTCGGCCTTTTGGTACGCATCCGTTTCGTACCGTCCTCACATTCTAACTACTTTGTGTGGGATGAGCACTTCCTTATCACTTTTCAAATACACCTTGTGTGTAGAAACAAATAAGACGATAATTTCAGATATAATAAAGTAAAATGGAAGGCTTAATATATATAATATATATTTTTTTCGTGAATGAATTACGTGGAGTTCAAACAGAGTTAATAGCTACGCCAAATAAACGTAAAACTACTGTAAGTTACTGCTAATTTTCGTATTTCCCCAAAATTACATGTATTTATGCTTTCTACTTTTTTCTTCTTTTTTTTTTTATTCAAAACATCGATATGGTACATAATAAAATTGTGGGGTTTCCTGTCAGATAAAATTTTCATTCTTCCTCAATTTACAGAATGACGAAGTGCTGGTAATAGCCGATGTACCCTTGGAACCGAATTGCTCACAACCAATTTGCGTAGGACCACTGTCTCAAATTTATTGTTCTGGAAAACTAATTCACACAGCGTGGTTGTTTGGAATGCAAGAAACATGCCCTGGTAATATGATGCGTAAATCACCAGAACTTATTTTGGAATTGTTCAACAAGTTGGTTATATTACGAAGTAAAAAAAAAAAAAAGAAACTAATTTTCCTGTAATTAGTTCTGTTTCCCGTCTTCCTCACAGTTGTGGGTGACAGACTATTATTTATCAAATAATGAATAGCATCATTAAATGCATGCTTAATATTGCAATATTACAGATGGTGTCTAATTACCCAGTATTGCTTACTGTTGTCAGCACAAGCTGTTGATGCATACAGCTATTACGAATAAATTAATGTACATTTTTAGTCTCACCTATCCACTAAAACGTGACCAGTTTCACAAATTTTGTATCGAAAACTTTGCGAACATAAGTTATCTTAAACAAGCAACTTTGGTAGATTGGACTGAAGAACCGGAAAATATAAGACGATTGCAGAACATAGCGTTAAAGTAAGTGTTCTTGGATCATGTAGAATTTGTGGAATAATTATATGAGATTCTTGATCTTTTGTAATAATTGCAATTTCGAATACATTTGTCGTATTCAGTGGATCGTTTCAGAAATATTTTTATTGAAATTCCTGTAACGTCAAAGCTTTGGATTTATTTTCAGAAAATTTGCTCGAAAACTGAATGAATTATGGAAAGTGTTGGCACGAGAATTTGTGGAACAGGTACATGAAACTCCTGAGCTATTCCCAATTTTACCTGTTTCAAATGCATTCATCGTACCTGGTGGTTCGTTTCAGATATATTTTTACTGGGATTCGTACTGGATCAACAAAGGTAAGCATTATATTCCAACTACATTAGTAAATATGGATAAGGTCTCGTCACTTACGATGCAGTATTCCATGTTTATTATTTGACACTTCCATTAATAATTGTTTTCCATTCCTTTAACACAGCTTATTATATTTACTATGTCCACAGCTTATTATGTTTCTTAACCATTTAACCTGTATGGTCCGACTTCGTTTATTACATTTTCTGGGATCTTACTTTTTCAGGACTGTTATTTTCAAACATGTCAACAACTGTTCGTCAGATCCTTGAAAATCTGGCCAGTGTTGTTCGGTTTCATGGATTTATTCCAAATTCGGGTAGTGTGCAGTAAGTTCCCTGCATTTTACAGTTCTTATCATAGACACTACATATATTTGGTATTGCATTTGGTGTTATTTTTAACAAAATATGAACTTAGGATCGATCAAACTAAAAACTGTTCATACTGGGTGCAGAATTTTGGTCCAATTCCTCAATCTTGGGTTTTGCTGCAGATTGTCGCGACGAAGTCATCCTCCCCTGTTTACGCAAATGATAGCGGATTATTATGGTGCTACCGGTAACAAAACTTTCCTAAAAGAGATGACACCGTGGATGGTTCAAGAGATGCTATGGTGGGCAGAAAACCGAGCACTTGATGTTAATTTGCCGTCTGGTCGAAAGTATCGAATGTATCAGTACAGGGTAAGTAATCTTAGCATTCATACTGTCATGCAAAGCACTAAAAGTAATTTGAGTGAATTACTTCAGGCCTTATCCAGTTGCCCTCGTCCGGAAAACTACTTAGCCGATCTAAATAGTGGCCTAAACGGCACGGGACATCCCGAATTTATTTGGTCGTCAATTGCTAGTGCTTGCGAATCCGGACTGGATTTCAGCACAAGGTGGTTTGCACATCAAGGGAAATATGCAGGTAAGTTTCATCTTCTTATTATTCATCAGCTAGCCTTCATTATAAGCTTTTTCAGACACCAAATATTCAATCCGGACCAATGATATTATCCCAGTTGATCTGAATGTATTTATGGCATGGAATTTTGCTACACTTAGTAATTTTTACGAAATACTTGGAAGATCTAAGTACGTTGTTCATTTTCTTCCTGAGATAATGAGCTTGATTTAAAATTTTCTCTTTTGCTTTCATTTTATATTATCATTTTTATTTATTTATTTGTTTTTTTTTTTTGCGTGACGTTTTATTACGAGAGTTAATAACAATAATAGATATTTTAAGGAAGGCAGCTGAATATCATGAACTGTACATGAAGTTACGTGAAGCACTGGATGAGGTTTTCTGGAGTGAAGACCATGGGGCATGGTTTGATTATGATTTGGTAGAGCAGAAACTGAGAAGTGGCTTCTATCTGTCTAATGTTTTTCCACTTCTACTTGGTGGCTATGGTGCGCGCATAACTACGAAAGTTCTTGACTACTTACTCGGAAATGGGGTACTCAATTTCAAAGGTAATTTAGCTTGGCTTATGAGAAATCATTCATGGTTTGGAAAGATTTGTTTTTTTTCTCAGATTCAAACAAAGTCCGGTTTCTTTAATTTGTAGATTTAATAATTTTACATACAAGGTGCTGTAGGTGGCATTCCGGTGAGCTTAAATAACGCTTCGCGTGAACAATGGGATTATCCAAACGGTTGGCCACCATTCACACATTTATTCGTGGAAAGTTTACGATTGTCGGAAGATGAAAAACTTGTTAAAATAGCTGAAAAAACAGCCTGGAAGTTTATCCGTACTGTTTACAATGGAATGATGAACCCAAAAAGGAGATGGTTTGTGCCGTTGTTATTTTATATGTCGTTATGGATGCTGTGGGTATTATTGTAACTTACTTATACCGGATTATAAATTTATGTTGTTCGAAGCTTGGCATAAACCTGACTCTTTTTTTTAGATTGCTGAAAAAGCTTTTTTGTGTTTTATATAGTGCAGCGTGAGACAGAATTGCTCTTTTGCAGCCAGCAGCATCTTGGGAGAAGTATGACATTCGATACGATGATGGTAGGCCTGGCTCAGGTGGCGAATATCCTGTACAGCAAGGTTTTGGGTGGACAAATGGCGCCGTGCTTGATCTCATTTACAAATATGAAATTGCTGAACAGCATACTGTTTCTGGAAGTTAGCTGTTTCTCTCTAAAGACTTAAAGGGTAAGACGAGAAAACTTTCATGGAAAGGAGCTGGGAATAGAATCTCAGTTCATTGAAGTACATTGGAAAGATGACATGTTACAACATTATTACATGGGCAGCTTCCTCTCTTGTACTTTTTCATGCTGTTTACAATACCAGTGAAAGGTGATGCGTTCAATTTTTTTTTTAACACAAGTTCGCTTTTCACAGGTGTCTTCAGTTGTATTGCTTAATTGTATGCTTTTGTTTAAATATCTTTTCCTTTTTTCATTGCTCTCTAAGCTAATTAAAATAGCAGCTTATCTCATTCACTGTTTCTGTCACTTCCAGATTTTCATTTTGAAAATAATTTATTCCAATTTAATTAGGGGCAACAAATTAACAGAATGCTGACTACTGCATTTGCTTAACAGTTACTTTATACTGAAATGCTTTAGTTTCTTTTTTAGAACGTTCCTTACTGTCTTCATATATCGGAATTCTTTGGCATAGACTTCTGTCCGACAGTTTTTTTTGCATTTGTTGATGCTGTTCGCAGTAATTGTTCATGATCAAAAATCATGCTAATATATTGCTGGAAAATAAGCTGACACCATTCGTTTGATGAAAGATACCATAACTTTTGATGCTGCGCTAGTCGCATTTCACTTAGTTTTATAAACTCGAGATTATTAGGAGGCTTCCTACTGTACGACATCAATGGTCAGACCAGTTTTTGTTTCTGTTTTTCTTCTTTTTTTTGCTTTTTTCAGCAGGAACCATAGCTGGTGCGAAGCATCGATAACTGAAAAAATGATAGGTCGTGCTATTTCTCGCAGGATAATTTATGTTTATTTGTTTCATATCTATTTCTTGTGCTTAGAAAATAAATTGGAAACCTAAAGTGTGTTAAGTAAAAAACTTATGTCATAGTTTCTGTATTTAAAAGTCATTTAGTTACGCCTATATATTTTCAGCAGAGCCAATAAACTCAGGTGAATTATCTTCGACTGGGCAGCAGTTCATTTACTTGGTTTTTATACTGTTTGGATTATTAATACTTTGGTAAGCATCGTGAAGAGAATTTGGAATGAAAGTCTGTTTGGTACTAAAATCATGAGTTTTTATATGTGCATTTCGTAGATTTGTAATGCCCGGCACTCATGCCATTTCTGAGTTTTCCCTTCTAAGCTGATAATTAGACTTGTCATCTCATAAAATGTTTACTGTGATGGTGTTTTGCCTATATTTTAAAAGTTTTTTCCAAAGAAGCGAAATATTACAGAAATACTGAATAATATGGGGATCAGTTGAAACAGCATACATTTTACATGTTACTTACATGTTACGAAACAGTTGGATTCATAATATGTAAAGGGAGAAAAAAGATAGCTGGCATTATGTTAAGCTATATGTTCTTGCAGGCTATTGACAGCTTTTGTGCTTCGCTTGAAGGAATTTTCCAACATAAAAAGTGAAGAATTACAGCTTGCTGAAGCAGTTCGTCTTTTAGGTAATGACTGGTGAAAGATGGGCATTGTCAAGTGATTCGAGAACAGTTCTAACACTTTTTAACTTTTTTATTATTTTCATCTTAAAAATGTGTTATGTGTATTTTACTACTTTGTTTCCGGGATGCTTTTTCCAGATTTACGTGTCTTTCATAATTTTCGGGTTCGATTGTCATTTTTATTTTGGCCGGTTCACTTTTTCTGTTATTTCTGTCTTGAAGAAATTTTTGTTTTTTGTATTTTTACATTGTATTGGATTTATTACTTTATCTGCTTTTTTATTTAACTTTTACATATGTTATACTAGCAACTGCTTTAATAGTTCTTTATGTTATAAGTGCAGTTATTTTGTTTGCGATAAATGTGTGAAATCTGAACTGAAATTCTTCTCGAAATCTCGAACCTGTCCTAGTATTTTTCTTAACATCTATCCCACATCATCATATCACTGATGAGCTATCGCCTTAATAAGTCATCACCTTTCTTCCTTTTTTTTTCTTTCGCTTTAAGACATTTTTACAGTGAACTGACTGTGTTTTCTTTTGTTGCAATTGCAAAATACTCTCAGTGTTTGTAACTTAAGGAATTTTGACCATAATTTGCTCACTCATTTAAACTACTATTCAACAAATTTTTATTGAAAGTAAGATTCCTCGTTGCAATGAATTCTTTTGACTTTCAAAGAAATTGTCTTTCAAATTGTATTTCTCAAATGAATCAAAAGAAAAAGCAAACATTTACTACAAATATTACCTGGTTAGTAGTTGAGTGACTATGTAAATATCTTACTTTCGTTTTCCTGTTTGCTGTAGAGTTGTATAACTGATCTGATTCATCCACAAATCAATCACTTTTAATGGTCTTCTTTTGAAGTTTTTAAATTCTACTGGTTCATTGAATTTACATGTTTGTTTAGCTTTTTGCAAACTGATACACTCAATGTTCACATAATTCTTGTTCGTTTCTCTGTTTTCATATTTCTTTATTTACTTCTTTCAATTCATTCAAAACTTTCCTAACGCACTTTCTGATTTTCAATTTTAAAATTTCATGCAGATCTGTGTAGAGATATCTTTAACTTCGTCTGTAATATAGGTTAGTTAACAATCCAAAGATCAATCTCTAGAATATGTGACTCATTACGTATTGCATCTACTTTGGCACTATTAAATTCTACACTTCCCTCTGCTTCTATAAATTGTTGTGGATGATATGATTGTGATTGGTATTTGATTTTT